GTTCTCTGGCAGATGGCCTGTGATATTGAGTTACTGCATGAGGTAAGACTTTTATTATTATTTATGGATCATTATTACCTTTTTCCAGAAATAATTTATCAATTAATGATTAGTGTGTTTGTGCATGTACTATATTTGTGAATTTCTGCTTTGCCCTCATTACCAGGTGCCATTGTCATCCTTTCTAACTGTAACCAAGAAGACTGGAAGGCCCTCCTCAAAGAACACTGTAAGTATTGGCACACAAGTACTATCACTCTAGGATTCAGCATCTTTTCATATTGTATTAGTGATTCAGGAGAAGCACTGTGTCATCACATCCTTCTGTCTAATGATTTTGATCACAGTTCTTCTTAATGAAAAATTTGAAATCATTCTGAATCGATCTATGAGTCATTGGTCTGATTGAGCCAGGCAGCTCATTTTCCCACTGAATAAACTCAGATTTATCACTTGCTTACTTAATTGCAGGTTATGTTCGCTATCTAAAAATGAGCTGCGAAACTTTAGTCTGTTTTGTGTACTTTTAAAAGCATTGTTTAAAATGCTTATTTGCTTAGGGAGTTTTGTTGTAATAAAAGGCATGTAGGTATACACACACACACACACACACACACACACAAGCCAACCACCATTCAAATGTAAGAATACTCACCAAGGCTGCATTTATTTGATTGAAAATACATTAAAAACAGAAAACGGTAATATTGTGAAATATTATAACAATTTAAAATAACTGTTTTCATGTTTTGTACATTTTAATCAATTTTAAAAGGTAACTAATTCCTGTAATGCAAAGTTGAATTTTCAGCATCATTACTCCAGTCTTTAGTGTCACATGACCCTTCAGAAATCATTCTAATATGCTGATTTGCTGCTCAAGAAACATTTCTGATTATTATCAATGTTGAAAACAGTTGTGCTTTTGTGGGAAACATTTTTTCCATATTTTTCAGGATTCTTTGATGAATAGAAATAGATACTTGAAATAGAAATATTTTGCAACATTATAAATGTCTGTCCTGTCACTATTTTTTTTTTTTTTTTTTTTTAGCAATTTAAGTATTAAAGGGGTCATATGATGCTGATAAAAAGAACATTATTTTGTGTATTTGGTGTAATAAAATGTGTTTATGCAGTTTAAGGTTAAAAAAACACATTATTTTCTACATACTGTACATTATTGTTTCTCCTCTATGCCCCGCCTTTCTGAAACGCGTCGATTTTTACAAAGCTCATTGGTCTGAAAAGCGAGGTGTGCTGTGATTGGCCAGCTATCCAGTGCGTTGTGATTGGCCGAATACCTCAA